TATAAAGGGGGTCGTCCCTCATATAGGGCATTCAAGGATCATTATAAATCAAATGACTCACCATGTACGTGTTGCATATGAAGTCGGCCGCTAGGGTCACTCGCTCTCATCTAGAGTGAAAATCCTAACTCATGCTCGTCAAGCTCGACTGCAAGAAAGCACATACTCATGGGGACCTTATCACATCTTGTTGCGACCATTAAACCTTGAGCTCTCCCTTCCCAAAAAACAACTCACTTACTTCTCTCCTCTAAGGTGATCGGAGGCCCTTAACATAGGTTGCTAGCAAGCCCAGCTAGCTTGCTAATCGTATGCCCCCTCAGCTCAATTCTCGCCGATGAACCTGCCCAAGTGAACTCATATGAACCTACTCAACACTACTGAACTTACCTCAGAGACCGATCATTAAAAAGCGTTCAATGTTGCCCCCTCTAGCTAGTTTAGGATAATATATACAAAGAGTGATGAGGGTGGATACTAGGCTTTAGATCATTGATGTAATCCAATTGGTGGGTGGGGGACTCTTGTAAAATAATTAAAAGAGTTATGATTAATATGAAGGTGGGTATGAGGCTTGAAGAGTTTATGTAAGATACAATTCATGAAATATGCTGATAATAGAAACTCTGTGGCACCTCCAGAATCTGTATATAGTTCCACTAGTTATGATATAACCTGAGTTGTGGTAATCCACTAAACTTTTGCTTTTAAACCCTTTTGCTTCTGTTTATAAATATTTTGTGTGCATATGAAGGTTTGCATTCATTATGAAGTGGGTCTAGGGGGGGTCTATTTGTATGCTTAGAAAATATGAATTTTTCTCTTGGGGCACCGTGGCGCTTCAACACTAGTGCTCTCGGGAAATTGAAAATTAATTTAGCGCGATAGCACTAGGGTGGCACTGCGGTGTTGTGGGCTCTCTAAGGTAGTGCCATGGCTAGTACCACGATGGTGTTGCATGGCACTATGATGCTAGGCTGAATTTAATATTTAAATTATCCAAGTACACTATTCCATACATTCTATTTGTTTGGGCTGCCCGTGCTTGAGAGTAGGGGTGTCAATTTCGGGTCACGGGTTTTTCGTGTCGTGTCAAAAATTGACACCCCTACTTGAGAGAGAGAGAGAGAGTTTCCTAGTGAGAGAAGCTCTATTTAGAGTGGATTCTGGTCATTTTTAGCTGCGATCTGGTTCGAGAAGTTACCCAAATTGAGGTAGGTTATATTTTTACTATCTCAGTTTTTAATAATTTAAAGTTTTTCACTACAAGAAAATCACTCATTACCGGTTTATTTTTTCGACGAAAATATCCACTTTTTCAATAGAATTTCAGTGTTCGCCTAGTTTTCGGGCAGATTTTTTTTCTGCCAGATAACCAATATAATATTAAATTAATAGTTAATTAAAAACTAAATATTAATATTCTTGAAAGGTGAAAATAATTAATTTGATGTTACTATGGAAGCTAATTTTTCATAAGGAATTTCTTTTCGGATTTTTCTACAGGAAAATCCATAGGAATTTTAGGTGGAAATTTTTCACCGAAAATTCCGATAAAAATCCGCTGAAATTTCAGGCCTAAAATTTTCGTTGGAAATTCCACTGATATCAACTGTTTTTCTGTAGTGCTGATTTACACAGTCTCAGTTAAATTGCCATCTAAAAAGGTATTAGAAGCATCTCTACTAGTGCTGATTTTAAGCCATTATAAGTAAAATCAAAATAGTTGAAGCTTAATAATAGGGCTGATTGTCTTAGTATAATCAGTACTATATTCTTGTTTTAAAACTTGTGGCTACGTTCGGTCGGCACTAAATCACGCCACGTAGCAGACACAAAATCACGTATTTGTCGATTTTGCTCGGCAATAACGAGAAATATCATTATGTGAAGACAAATACCAAGCAAATACCGAGCAATACCGAGTAATACCGAGAACCACCAAGCAATACCGAGTTTTTTCTAGAAAAACTCGGTATTGGTCTTCACAGAGCGGTATTTCTCATTATTGCCAAGCAATACCTAGCAATACCGAGCAAATACCGAGCAAATACCGGGTAACTCAGTGGTGACTGCACGTAGAGCTACGTCCGGTCACTAGACCTAATAATTGTTCCTAAATTGGGAACAAACGTAAGAAGCAGTCATCAAGGAGAGAGTGATGTAGAGCATCTTAGCTAAATTGTTCCTTAGGTATATATTAATTAGTTTGTTACAAGTCTTCTAGAATTTTCTAGGATTCTCTAGGTTGTCTCTATTTGAGTATTATATATACATGAAATGTATAAGAGGAAAGCATCATATGATAAATAATCACTTTTTAGAAGCTTTAAGCTTGGTGTTACCCCTTGTTCCTTGGATTGAGATTAAATCACAAGTCTGATTCTTCTTACCATCCAACTACATCAAAGAGAGAGAGAGTATATGTATATATATGAATTTTTTATTAATATCATTAAGAATTTAGCCTATGATAAAATTTGAAAGTTAATTAAAATTCATTTGTACGTTAATTTTAACAAAATTAAAATCAAAATGGTGCATTTCAATGAGACAAATCTAGCAAGACAAAAATAATGTGAATCCAAGCATGTTTAGAGCCAAAACTACCATAAAACAATATTGAAATATATTGGTTTAGAATGGTGTATGAGGGGGGTTAAATATTTTGTACAATCCGAAAATCCGATCTAAACTCAATTCGAAAATTTCGGGTTAGGATCAACCCATTTGAGAAATGTGTCAAGTTCGGATTTGGGATTCTGACCTATTTGTAAAACAGTGTCAGATTTGGGTTGACCCTGAAACCCAGAACCAAGCTGGGTTGACCTGGGAACATCGCGCTTGAGTCATGACCTTGCCGGTCCACGCTGGCCTACCGTGCCCATCAATGTCGTCTCTTCCTTACTGGCCAGTGGCATGAATGTCATTGGTCTTCCTGTGTCATCGTCCGTTCGTGCTGGTCAGGAATGTCCTCTACAATTTCATCCATGTCATCGTAGACTCGTCGTCCGTGCCATCATTAATAGATGTGCCGTCGTCGGATCGGGTCCACGTCAACTTGCACTTGTGCTGGTCTGGTCCGGTTTGGGATTTTTGACCAGTTTGTAAAACCAGATCAAGTTCGGGTCATGTCAAACAGTAGCGGGTCGAAATCAAGTTTGACTCAAACCCGATCTGTGACCCAATTTTGACAACCCTACGGTGCATGAGACCCACTAGGCTACTTTCACATACCCGTGTATGAATCACAAGGCTTATGCTTCCCTTTATGATGAACGACCTTTCATAATCAATTCTGGCCATGAAACTCTTCAAATTTCTCTCTACAAGAGTTAATAGCAATCTATGGATACGCAACTCTTTTTGATTTGTTGGTTGAGAGTTTTGCCTATCAACCAACAGGTCTTGGATTCGAAGCTTGCGTATGCGATGTGTGTGACAATTTGTCTTTTTTCACCTAAATATTCCTAAAAATAGCAATCTCTGAATCACGATAAAATGATTTTAGCTCCACAAGTTACCAGTGAAAAATCGAAGATCAAATTATTTTGTAGCCATTGTGATCTCTACAATTGACAAAATTATGAGCTCTTTGCATTATCAGATTGCTACTGTGAAGGAGAACATTTTATGAAAAAAATAAAATAAAAATTTAAGTTCCGCCACAATTTTCTACTCACATAAATTTTGAACCTTATATGAGTTTGGAATATCAATTGAGAAATTACAGATAAACTCCACACAAACAAATCTGTAAAGGTTGTGCTTTTATAATTTGTATCTTCGAATCAAATTTAATTTATTCTATTTTAAATTAATCATTTTCTAACTAAACTTTGGCTTTGTTTTGAGACGACTATTTTATTGCTTCTTAAAATAACTTTCTATTAAAAAAATTATTTTAAAAAATATTAAAAAGTCGTCCCGAACAAAATCTTAGAAGGATTGATCACTTGAAGAAACGCTCAAAGTCTTCAAGTCATGAAAATTATTGTCAAAATCTCCAAAGCTTACTATTATGAAAAAAAAAAAAAAACAATTATAAGGGGTGTCAATTTTTGACACCACCCAAATCAAAACCGGAAAATCTGGCTTCAGGTAAACCTGATAAAGAAATGGGTCGATTTCGGGTCCTATTTTTGGACTCATTTATAGTTCAGGTCGGTTTGGGTCAACCTGGCAATTTGGGTTTAACCTGAATTGACCCGCTATCATCTGTTAGCCGACTCAGCCCTTCGCTACTGTTGGCCTGCCGCTTAGGCGCTTAGTCATTGCCTCCGACTATCACGCTCATGCATGCGCCTAGCGGGCCTAGCCCAAATCGTCGAACAGTGTCGCTGCTTCCGACTGCCACACTCCACACTATTATCTGCCGCATGGTGCACTCGCTGAACTCGACATAACCGCAAGCCCCACGTGCTGGTCGCATTCGACCATACCTCACTAAACCTAACCCCATTCCGTGTTCGCGGGTCGAGTCGGTTGAAAATCTCAATTCAACAAGTAAACTGTGCTGATCGGGTCCAGGTTGAAAATCCCTACCCAATTGTTAAACTGGATTGGATTTGTGTCAACCCGTTTATGCTTGAATCAGCTCGGGTTAGACCCAATTCCTACCCATTGACCTAAATTGACACCCTAATATTTTAATTTATTTTCACACATATATAATAAAAACAATTTTTTTAAAATATTAAACATAAAAAAACCCTTTAATTCCACCTCCCCATCATAAAAAACTCTGCTAGTTTCTCATAAATTTGTTCTGTTCTCTTTCCCTCCCAATCCCCTCAGTAATATTGGAACAGTTGCAAGTCCAGCGCACCTTCTCCCCCTCTACTCCACATAGCGCAAACGCAGACATCATCTTCGCCTACTGCATTTATAATCCCTGCGGCCGCACATCCATTTTTATAGCCTCTCTGATCAGTATATATAGACGATGCATCGATCATACATTCCCATCCACACTTATCTCCAAGCCTCCTAATTTCTCAATGGAGCTCCTTTTATTCTTCTTCTTCTTCCTATTCTCTCTCCTCCCTCTTTCCTCAACTCAACCAAATGACACCACTCTTCCCGGCTCCATCGCTCGCACCACCAAGCAACAACTCCTCGCCGCCCTGTCACCCGGCAATCCCTCCGCCTCCGAGCCCTTCCTCTCTTCCCCGAGCGGCAAATACGCTGCCTACTTCCTCCGCCGCGACTCCGACCCCGTCCCCGACGCCGGTGGCTTCGGCAACGACTTTTGCTACATCCAAGTCGCAGAAATCAACACAACTGATAGCAGGTGGGAGTCGGACTGCGTTCCGGTGACCATTTCGAACGCATGCTCTCTCATCTTCTCGGACTCCGGCCTTGAGATTCTTGACGGAAGTAACTCGGCGTGGAGCACCGATGCCCACTCCGAATTCCCTGTTCAAAATCTAGAGCTTGATGATGAAGGGGACTTGAGGATAACGGGCGAAGACGGTGAGTTGGCGTGGAAGGCCAGTGATGAACCTCGACAGAACCAGCATTGCGGGGAGACGGGATCGCCGGGGCTGGTAGCGGCGGCACCGCCTTCTGCACAGACGATTGGCAAGGGATCAGAGACGCCGCTTGAGCAGCCGCCGCCGGGAAGGTCGACGGGCCGGGTCGGGCCGACGCCTGAAGGTGTGAATGGGGCGGGGATTGGATATGGTGGACTGCCGTTGGTGGATAGCACTCCTTACGACAGCGGAAGTTTAAGGCCGGTGGTGGGTTGGGTTGGGACGGGAAGAGCATTGCTTCTTTGTTTAAGCGCTATAGGTGGGGTCCTCTTTTGATATAATTTTGTGTTATTATTATTACTAATAGGAAAAAATGGGTATGATATTTTAAAATAATTTTTGAATTAGGATGAAATTTAAAATTATTAAACTTATTTTGAGATTAATGCAATATAAATTTTATTTATTTATTTTATATATTGCATTTATATCAAATTAAATTTAATAATTTTACAACTCATCACATTCAAAAATTATTTAAGATATTGTGCCAAAATATTTTTCCTTACTAATATTATGTGTGTTATAGGTTGGTCTTAAGAAGGAGAAGAAAACCTCTCTCTCTCTCTCTGTGGCAAGTAAGGGTTTTTTGAATTTGGTTTAATGTATGGAGTTTGAGGTTTAGTTGTTGAGGTTTGGTTGTTGAAGGATGGGATTGCTTGTTCTTAGTTGAGTGTGCATTGTGCTTTTTCTTTTAAAAAAAAAGTATTTTTAGTGAAAAAATGGAATTATTTTTTGTTAAATAATTTGATTAAATTCTTTTTTGGAATGAGTTTTAAATTTATTAGATTTATTTTTAGATAAACACTATGGGAATTCTAACTAATTATTCATTTATTAATTTTATTTCGAAGTATTATCTAACAACTTTGAAGGTATTCCAACTAAATTTTTATTATCTTAATATTTCGAACTACTCTTATATATAACCCCATATAAACTAAGATGCATAGTATATACTTAAGTTATGGGCGTGGCAATCTTCGCTCTTACGAACTTTCATATCAAGGAAAAAAGTATGGTTTCCCAATATATACATTTCGATTCATTTACAAAAAATTATATACACCACTCAGAATCTATACAATTGTACCACAACTATTATGTTCAGAGTACCACAACTATTTTGGCTTAAGTACAAAATAATAGTTAAAGCAATAAAAGAAATATAACATGCAAAATCCTGATCAATCTCACACTCCTGATATTTTGCCTAACTTGAAAATATTTAACCGCGTATAATGAGCTCATAAGCCCAACAAACAATCAAATTATATAGCTAAACTCAACACAAGAAAAAGAAGCAATATACACGTCAATAGTCAATTCATAATAGTAGCATTTACATGATCATAGGGCATTACAATATATAATTTGGTAAATAAGTACAAGTGTCGAATCACTAAAAAATCATCATATCAATGCTACAATCAGTAGAGGAATCATATAAAATATCAAATCAAAAAATTGATAAAGACTATCAAAATTATGTTAATGCATTAAAATCATATAAAAATAATTATTTTGTGTGTCACAAGCTCATAAATATCATATCATCAATGTTAATTTAGTGTCAGTGTCTAGTGCTCATACTCAATATATATCACGTGATCAATATATTAATAGTAGTAGAACATTACTAATATTACCATCATGGTTGAAAGTAATAGTAAAGTCGTATAGTGATAGTGGTTCATTAGCATGCCTTCTAATAATCATATTAATTAAACAGTAACCAGTCTTAGCTAAAGTGGTGTTTTTTAAGTACTAATATTAGTATCAATAATCTGTTGGCTCAGTAAATAGAATCATTACTCTTTGCTCATAAAGTAATCATTTCTTTATAACTATACATAAGTATCATATGAATCAGTAGAGGATAACACTCAAACATAATTTAAAGGAAAGCCTGTTGGCCCACCATCTTGTACATGTCAATCAGTCTCCAACAACGTCAGTAAATAACTAGTCTTTACTTATTTTCTCTAAACACATATTATTATCATAGTACTATAACAGTAATAGTAACTAACTATTACTCAATCACATATCCACATTATTTTTCAATGAATTTTAGTAAATAAAATATAATTGAGCTTAATTCAGAAAATATTAAAATATTTTGATGGTCAACAAAAATCTTTCTGAGAAAAATTTCATATTTCTAAAAATTAACTAAATTATCAAAAATTATATATAACAATATTTTAAAGTTTTTATTGAACTAAAGTACTATTTTTAAATATTAAAATAAATTTTAGAGTAGAAAAAAAATTAATTTTAAAATCACTCAAAGAAAAATTTCCAAAATATACTCAAAATGTTCATAATTTTGATCTCTAAAACATATAAAAAATTACACGATAAAGATTTACCAATACAAAATAATACTTTTATTATGTAATGAAAATGCATATTTGACAAAAAAAAAACCAAAAACACAACACTATTAAAATAAAAAAAATAAGATATAGATTCCTTACACTAAGATGTGAAAATTGTTCAATAATGTCAACGGATGAAATCGCTTTATGATCTCCAAATCCTTAATATTTTTTTCTCTCCTCTTATTTTCCTCTCAAATTTCCTTTTCAAGTCTCTGTTAGTTGATTTTATTTAAAGAAAAACTAATAAATAGTTTATCTTAGTGCTTTATGATATTTATATTAAAATAATAATATAATTTAATTAATTTTCAGTATAAATTCATATAAATTTTTTTGCCCTTCAAAAATTATTAAAAAATATTTAAAAAATAGCTCATTTTATTTAGAAAATATTGGTAAAATTAGTTTGTAAAACGGGAACCTAGTGTTCCCAAAATGTTCACTTGTACCAACATGTGTCAATTTCTTAAAAATTTTCACTAATGTCCAAAAAATATAAAAAAAAATTATATAATTAAAACACACTAATATCTATCTTATGGAAAAGATAATTTTAAATTTGATTTATAATGACTCCTAAAAAATTTATTTGTTTGAGTTAAAATACATGTTACTACAACATTGAAGTTATCTCAAGTTGAATATGTTGAAAATGTTCTACAAAGATTTGACATGAGTAATTCAATGCCAATTACACTTCCTTAAGTAGTCAACTTCAACCATCTAAGGAGGAATCACCTAAATTTGATGTATAGTAAGAACTAATAGAGATAACTCTATAAACATTAAATATACTATATGATTCATCAGAAAAAATAATAAAGATAACTTTATGTGGAAGTTTGATGTATGTTATGATCTATAGAAGAATGAATATAGAATATATAGTGGGAGTAGTAGTGGATTTATGAGTTACCCAGGCAAATATCGTTCGTAGGTTGTTATGTGGATTCTCAAATACTTGAGAGTGATGGTTGGCAAAATACTTTGCTTTGGAAATGTAAGGATTGCACACCAACATACAATGATATATATATATATATATATATATATCATTGCCTCGCCCCATTTGACTCCCTCACTTGATTTCTTGGCCATGAAGAAATAAAAAGATGGGAAGAAGAGAGGAGAGAGATAAGTCATTGGATTATATTTGTCAGTCATTTCTATTACAGATTTTATTCTATTAATTGTAAATCTCTCTCAAATTTATCAAAAATGCATTATCTTCTAATTTTATAAGCTTTCACCATACAAGTTTGAATATTATAAATTTGATCATTCTAAATGAATTCATAATTAATTTATTGCATTTTAATTAAATTACTGAATGATATCAGATACATGATATACTAACTTCACGTGATATCCTACTGATCCATGTGATTCAAAGTCATAATAAGTTGGAGATTGATTGTGAGTTTTAAGAACTCGGGGAAAACTAATTTACCTGATTTAAGGGAGGTTCTAAGGAGTACATTAATCGAGAGTTTTAAGAGGAGACTAATTTGGAGTTATAAGTGCAAGAGCAAGATACCCTTAAGATATACAAATTAAATATTTGAATACGGAGGTTGACACTATTGCAAACACTGTATTGATATTGTGATTGACACTAATATTATTTTCTATCATTATCACTATTTAACATTATTGGTTAGTATTATTGACTGTTAATAATACTATGATTGATGATACAATGGATTGAGATGTGACGAACTATATAAGAATAAATTGATATAGATAATTATTATATACATTGATGCATATTTTTTTTATATGATTTATGTTAAATTATTCTATTTTATCTTGCATTGGTTTCAATTATAAGATTGTAGTTACTTGTTGGGCTTTGTGCTCGTTATGTGGTTTTAAATATTTCAGGAAAGGGTAAAAATTCTATAATATGAGGCTCCATACAAAACAAAAATGCAATCATGTTTCTTCCATTGTTTATTAGTAAACTCTAGCTAAATGATTAAAATGAAAAACATATGTAATTCTTCCAATATAGATCCAGGAGTGTGACACCTACATATATGATAACAAGGACAATCACAATTGATAAACTAAGACTAAGTTCAACTTTAGTTGGTCTTTATGAAGGTTAAGGAAGGGGTGGGTGACGTTATAGTTTCTCTTCAATGATTGATGCTATAGATCGGTCCAAGGATCAATCACAATTAGTTTCCAAGTATGAGATTGCTAGTTTTTGTAGAATTTGTGTGTGTCTATCAATCTAGTTGCACTAACGACTTAGATTTCAATTAAGTTTGTTGATCTTGACAAGAAGCTTTTTCTGGAGTCAGGGTCAAGGTATTGTGGACACAACGCCGCAACATTTTGGACCTAGTTTTGAGATAGAGAACTCAAAGCCAAAGTGTTATAGTTCTAGCACTGCGGTGCTATGAACTCAGTGCTATGATGATATAGCCACAATGCCAAGGTGTTGCAAGACAAAGAATAACACAATGGTAAGGCATTGTAAGCTCAATGCCGCGACGCTGTGGAATCACTTTGGAAGTTCACTTTCTTTTTTGAGAGTTATAGCTAATTTAAGGGAGTTATTTTCTTATATCTAAAGAGGAGAGAAAGCTTTCGATGTGTGTGAAGTAAAGAAGAGTTAATGAGTGTGAAGATATAAACCATTTTTTCGATTTTTGTAGTGGATTTCTTAGTATATATGGTGAGGCTTCATGAAAATTTTCCCTTTTTTCAAGTTTTTTCATGTTAAATTCTAGTCTTCTTTCTCCAATTTTATTTTATCTTATTTGTTTAGATTTTGTTTACTCCCAACAACATTTTCAACTTAGCTAACTTTAGTTGATAAGATGGAGAGATTGTGGCGCTTTGCAAATAATTCATGTTGCCATTTCCATGTTTGAGGGAAATTCTGATACAATAAATGAAATGGTAAACACTATGATGCAGAAGTTTTGGATTTTCATCCTCGCTCTAGAGCCTGTACTTTAGGAGAAGTTGTTCTGTGCATACACCAAATGGTTTGGAGACCAATCAGAACGTGTTACGTCATCTAGTACCGCTCGGTAATGATACCAAAGAAAAAATGATATGCCGTATTTTAATTGATCTCCATAAACCATCCGGCATCCACAAAGAATAATTTTTGATACTTCAAGGTCCATAAGTTGCCACTTTCTTTGATTACAGCAAACATTATTTTAATACAAATCCTCCAAATTTTTACTTGGCATTTCATATATATATCAGCAAAGTTTATTTTCTTTGAGATTTTTGCAAATTTCTTCTGTCATGTCTTGTCAAAACTTTATAGGTCTCCAATATCTTTCTTGCAGATGCTTGAATTTACTTCATCTTTAAAATGGAAGATGATAGCATAAAGAGAATAAAAAATAAATTTATTTAATAATATAAAGTTATTGAAAATCAAAATTAAATTCAAATGAGCACAAAGTTTTAAGAGAAATTTATGAGGTTACTTCTAACTCTGGAAAATTTTATTATATTTTAAAAAAATCAACTTAATAATAATTTGAATTTCTTTTTTTAAATAACTAAAAAATAATATAAATTAAAAAAATTTAAAATAATTCCAAATTCTTATGAGGTTTTTTTGAGGTTGTCCCCAACTAAAGAAAATAATTTCATAAATTTTGGACATCATTTAAGTCCAAACCAAACTTTTTGAACTTAAGATTTAATAAAATAATAAGTAAACAAGCTAGAAATTAGAAAATTTGTTAACATTTCAATAAAAAACTGAAATATTCTAATTAAACTCTTCTGAACTTAAGAAATTATAGACAAAAATAAACTAAATAGTTTGAAATAATATAATCTTTAAAATAAAATTTTATTTCATAAATCCTAAAATAAAAATTTTAAATAACAAAAATCTTAACTATCACTCTATTTACTTCTAGAGGCATTAAATTTCTAGCACAAAATATCATTGTGCTATATATGACTTTAAAAATGTATTCCAACTTGTTAAGCAAAAAAGATTAAAGATGAATTCGGGACTCTTCACTATAAAAAAATTAGGATTTTTCACATCGATTCTTTTGAGCGATTTCGAAATCGCTGTCAATACCTTTCTTTTGCACCGATTTTAACCGATAAAAATTGCACCTATTTTAAGCGCAGGTAAAAGTCCAGCCCGTGACTTTTATGGCGGTTATAACTGCTACAATATATCAGAATTGTGGTGGTTTTCAATTTATTTTGAAGATATTTGCGGCGATTATAATCGCTGCAAATATGTAGGTTTGCACTGGTTATAACCGCTGCTAAATCTAACACTTCGTCCAATTTACCTTACGGGTCCTAATAACCATAGTGGAATGTCGTTGTAGCATATAGCAATTACAGCGGGGGCGCAACGATTTTAAAACAACTGCGAAGAAATTAGTAGTGGTTATAACGACAGGGATAACTCAAAAATAGTACAGTGATAGACATATTTTTTGATAGTAAACTTCTAGAATGTTCCTTCAGTTTATTGTTCATCAAAGAAGAATTGAGATTAAACTTATTAAAAATATGAGCAAGAAAAGAATACAACCCATTAAAGATCTTTTCAAGCTAAGTTTGGAAAATTTTCAGCTGCTTTAATTTATACGTTTCTAATAGATATCAGCCATTTGGAGCTATGGGGAAAGAAGAAAGCATTATCGATAATATTAAGAAATATTTATTTCATCATCATCATCTTGTTGTTGTTATAGTATTGACCACTTCAATATTGAAAAATATGCTCTATTCTTTGTATAAAAGTGGCTGAAAATTTATGTATTTCTCATCGTCAGGTAATTCCCACACTCCATCTTTGAAGCAATTCAGCAACGCTGCTTCCATGACGTCCTCCACTCACATCTTCCTTCTTCTGCTTCTCTTTGTTGTCTCGATCTATAGTCAATCAACAACTTTCAGTCCCTTCAAGTTCGAAGAGGCTACCATCGCAGACATCCAAGAGGCCTTCAACAATGGCATGTTAAATTCTTCCCAACTGGTCAAGCACTACCTGGATCAAATTAGCACACTCAACCCCCACCTCAATGCTGTCATAGAGGTCAACCCTGATGCAATTGACGATGCAGCTAAAGCAGACCTTCAGCGTAGCACTGATGGCATGCAACTTAGTCCCCTCCATGGTATCCCGGTTCTTATCAAAGACAACATCAACACCCATGACAAGCTCAATACTACCTCGGGCTCCTTCGCCCTTCTCGGCTCTGTTGTGTCTCAAGATGCCGGTGTCATCCAACGTCTTCGTAAAGCCGGTGCTATCATTCTCGGAAAGTCAAGCATGAGTGAGTGGGACAACTTTCGATCGTTGGACGTAAAGCAAGGGTGGAGCCCACGTGGAGGACAAGGTCGAAATCCCTACCCTACAGCGGACGGTCCATGTGGGACTAGCAGTGGGTCAGCCATAGCAGTAGCTGCAAATTTAGTGACTGTTTCACTAGGTACAGATTTAGATAATGCCATCACTTGCCCTGCAGTCATGAACTCAGTGGTTGGCATCAAGCCCACAGTAGGCCTCACGAGCAGATCTGGGATGGTGCCTATCTCGCCTAGGCTACAAACCATAGGGCCAATGGCTCGTACGATGGCAGATGCAGTGACACTCTTAGATGTGATCGTGGGATTCGATCCACTAGACGCTAATGCGACCAAAGAGGCATTAAGGTTTATTCCAACTGATGGATTTCAAAAGTCATTGAAGGAAGATGGACTCGAGGGGAAAAGAGTGGGGATTCTACGCCACTCATTCTCAAATGAATACCCCAAGGGAAGCGTGGAGGCTAACACATTTGAAGCTCATTTTCAAACTATGAGGTGATTAATTTCTCACCTTGCAAATTATCTTGATTTAAATATCATTTTTTTAAGAATTTTAGTTTTTGTAAGACATAGTGATAGAAGAAGAATATTTTTTTTAATACATTCAAAATTAAAAAAAAATATTAAATTAATAAAAGACAATGCTTACACAAAATTAAAAAATATATAACTGATATTTTTAAAATTACAAATATATCTTCTATTTCAATTTATCAAGAAATGAAGATCTATTATATGAACTATAATATTGATAACATAGAAGATGCAAAAATAGAAACAGCATTTTTTTACTAATTTACTTATTGCATAAAATTATTTTGAGATGGCGAAGATGATGAAGATTGAAAGCTATATTATATTAATTAATTTCTGGAAGTTAAAACAACTAATTTTTATTGATCTAATTTTTATTGATCGATGTATTTGTATGTGTTTGTCTATGAATGATATTGCATATGAAGATTTCAGAAAAATAGGGTTTTGACTTTTTTTTTTTTAATTAAATAAAAAAGTTGCTATTAAAAAATATTTTTGTATTAAGTAAATATATTTGAAAAGCAAATGAATTCAAATGGAAAACTAAAATTTATCTCCTTTATCACAGATTAAAAGGCGCAATCTTAATTGACAACATTGAATTGAAAAATGTGAAGATCATGCAAAATATAACTGCAAGTGGTGAAGCGATTGCACTTTTAGCCGAGTTCAAACTTTCACTGAACGCCTACCTCAAAGATCTTGTGTCCTCCCCAGTACGATCTCTCGCAGATGTCATAGTCTTCAATAATCAGCACCCGATCGAGGTAATAATAATCTAATCATCGTGCACATATAGTTATAAAGAAGGATAAATAATTTTCCTTATACATTATCAATTCACATAGGAGAGGATGAAAGAATATGGGCAAATAGTCTTCCTAGCATCACAACAAACAAATGGAATAGGTGAGGCAGAGAAGAATGCAATGAAAAGAATGGCTCAACTCTCAAAGGAGGGAATGGAGGATTTAATTCAAGAGAAAAGCTTGGATGCTGTGATGTTCCCTGATTATAGTATGTCACATGCTCTGGCGATAGGCGGCTTTCCCATTATTAGTGTGCCAGCTGGATACAATAACTCAGGTGCACCTTTTGGTATTTCCTTTGCTGGATTGCGGGGTTCAGATGCTACATTGATTGAGATAGCTTATGCCTTTGAACAAGCTACCAAAGTCAGAAAGCCACCTCCACAACTCGTTTGATAAAAATTCAATGCTAAGTTGAAGGCAACTTTTACATTGGAATCTTACCATTTTCTTTTTTTAAGAAGGAACATTGAAATAAATATTCTTAAGATAATTATTCTTCATATGAATTTTATTTTCTTTTGTGTTAATTAATAGACTTTTCAATTACATATTTCTTGTATGTTTGTATGAGTCAATTGTAATTTATAAAAAAAATGCGTGCAATAAAAATATATGATAGATTTGAATAATGCATTGTACCTTTTTATATTTACAATACAATAGATATCATGCTAAATGATTCTATGTAGTTATAAATTATGATAATTTTACAATAAATCAACCTTTTGATCTCGGTTAGGAGAGTAGATGTATTAGATTTGGTTTTGTTAAGAAATATAGAGTTAGACCTAAAAAGAGTTAGAAAAAAAAAAAATTGGAAAAACCTTTTTTAATTAGATTTATGTGAGAATTTGCTCTTAATAGTTTATATAGGAGGAAAAAGTTTTATGCCGGGTCGGGTCCGGGTTCAAATATTCGACCCGTTACAGATTTAGATAATGCCATCACTTGCCCTGCAGTCATGAACTCAGTGGTTGGCATCAAGCCCACAGTAGGCCTCACGAGTAGATCTGGGATGGTGCCCATCTAGCCCAGGCTACAAACCATAGGGCCAATGGCTCGTACGATGGCAGATGCTGTGACACTCTTGGATTTGATCGTGGGATTCGATCCCCTAGATGCTAATGCGACCAAAGATGCATCAAGGTTTATTCCATTCGATGGATTTCAAAAATCATTGAAAGAAGATGGACTCAGGGGGAAAAGAGTGGGGATTCTACGCCACTCATTCTCAAATAATTACCCCAAGGGAACCATGGAGGCCAACACATTTGAAGCTCATTTTCAAACTATGAGGTGATTAATTTCTCTCCTAGCAAATTATCTTGATTTAAATATCATTTTCTTAATACATTAAAAAAATAATAATTGAATAAAAGACAATGCATACTCAAAATTAAAAATATATAACTGATATTTATAAAATTAGAAAAAAATGGTTATAACAAGTGGTCTAATAATTCTTATGTTTATTTTAAATTTTTTATTTTTAAACAAAAGAATAATTTTCAAATAGTGAGTAATGCTTGATCATTTATTTAAGCCATTCAATAAAGGAAATTACAAATATATCCTCTATTTCAATTGATCAAGCAATGAATATCTATTATGTGAACTATAATATTGATAACATAGAAGATGCAAAAATGGAAACTGAAAGCTATATTATATTAATTAATTTCTGAAAGTTAAAAATAAGTAATTATTATTGATTATATATTATGATCAATGTATTTGCATGGTGTTTGTATATCAACGATATTGAATTTGAATAATTCAGAAGAATAGGGATTTGAATTTTTTGAAAAAAAATTAAATAAAAAAGGTGCTTTTTAAAAAATATTTGAATATTAAGTAAATATATTTGAAAAGCAAATGAATTCAAATTCAAAATTAAAATTTATCTCATTTATCACAGATTAAAAGGTGCAATCTTAGTTGATAACATTAAATTAAAAAATGTGAAGATCACGCAAAATATAAATGCAAGTGGTGAAGCGACTGCACTTTTAGCCGAGTTCAAACTTTCACTGAACGACTACCTCAAAGATCTCATGTGCTCCCCTGTACGATCTCTAGCAGATGTCATATCCTTCAACAATCAGCACCCGATCGAGGTAATAATAATCTAATCATCGTGCATATATATTTATAAAGAAGCATAAATAATTGGCCTTATACATTATCAATTAACATAGGAGAGGATGAAAGAATATGGACAAATAATCTTCCTAGCATCACAACAAACAAATGGAATAGGTGAGGGCAGAGAAGAATGCAATGAATATAATGGCTAAACTCTCAAAGGAGAGAATGGAGGATCTAATTCTGGAGAAAAGCTTGGATGCTATGATGTTCCCTGATTCTAGTATGTCACGTACCATGGCGATAGGTGGCTTTACCATTATTAGCGTGCCAGCTGGATACAATAACTCAGGTGCACCTTTTGGTATTTCCTTTGTGGGTTTGCGTGGTTCAGATGCTATATTAATTGAGATAGCTTATGCCTTTGAACAAGCCACCAAAGTCAGAAAGCCACCTCCAATACTCGTTTGATAAAAATTCAACGTTAGGTCAAAGACATTCCGTCGGATTTTACGTGTTACCGGCGGATATGGTCCGCCGGTAATAGCGTGTTTTCCTGTAGTGTTAACCTTGACATTGGAATCTTACCATTATGTTTTTTTAATAAAAAGGAGATTTCACACCTCTATGAAATAAAATTTATTTGAGGCTTTGTTTGGATTCTATTCATCACCATCATGACTTCCTCAGCCAAGTTATATATATGGAAAAAATATTTCTTTTCTATGAAAAGGAACATAAAAAAAAAAATATTCCTAAGATAATTATTCTTCATATGAATTTTATTTTCTTTTATGTTAATTAATAAAATTTTCAATTACATATTTCTTGTATATGTTTGAATGAGTCATAAAGTTCAGTTGTAATTTATGTAAGAGACGTGTGCAATTAAAATATATGATAAATTTGAATAATGCATTGTAACTTTTCATATTTACAATCATAACATATAGCATGCTAAATGATTCTATATAGTTATAAATTATGATAATTTTACAATAAATAAAGTTAGGTCAACTTAATATATGTAAAAAAAAGAGAATAATTACAAACAAGAAAATTAGTTAAATGGTACCCCTTGAAAAGCATTCTTGGATCTTATAGTTCAATATTGACACTCAATTAACAGAAGTGAGCGTGCACAATTGGACTCATAAGAGCATTTGTTCTTTCATCCTAAGAAGATAAATAATATTAAATGCATTGATAATCAATCGCCATATATTTTCATTGTTGATCTCATTTTTCTATGATGCCAAATTTCCCCATCATCCTTCATCCTAAGTGCTTAGGTCTTCCTAGCCTACTTAGGAGGCAAACGAAGAACCTAGTTGGAGGCCAAACATAGCAAGGATATACATGCAACATCAATCTATCTCATTAGGCTCTTGAATGTAAAAGAATAATATAAAATGCATATAATAAAAAGAAAACATGATTTCAATCAATCCCACTCCACAGAAATCCTGACCCTTTCATTTATAAATAATATTATAAAAAATTAAAAACACTGTGACTTAAATTTGAATTTAACTATTTATTTTTCCCCTTTTTTCATTTTGTTATAAATACATATAAATTTTAATTAAACCATATATTTATGAATCATATTATAAATTAAATAAAATGAAACCAATTAACCAGTGGTTAGCACGGTTAATGACATGATATTTTTTCTTTTTTTAATTTTTTATAAATAATAGTTTCAATTTTTAATTTGCCTCTTAAGGTAACGTCAAGCATCACTTTTAAATTTAATATTTTTAATTTGTCTCTATGAAAATAAAATTTAAATAATATATTTTCAAAAAATTGTCCTTTTCCTTTCAAAGGTTTTGATTAGGTTTATTCGATAAACCAATTAAATCATGAAGAATTTTTTATAACAATTACTCACTCAATCCTTCTAATATTTGAGCTCCATCCATATATACCTCCACTAGGATCTTAAAATATTATAGGGAAAAAACAAAAGGAGTGATGGAAGTCAAATAAAATTTCAATACCAGCCGGAAGAAATTTCAGATATCAAGCCGCTGGAAACTATTGCCAAAGAGACAAATTTCTATCCAATTAATAAATCCATTATGTATATTAGTTCCCCTTTCGCTCTTTCTCTTGGGAAGAAATTTATTTCAAAATATTATCTATCATAGACTAACTCCCTTCTTCATATAATATCTAGTAAATATTATAAAAAGTGAATAAAAGTTCAGACATGAAGCCAAAGAGAACCATACGCAATGATAAGTAGCATTTTTGCCAACTAATAAACTCATTATTTACTTATGTTTCTCATCTTGAGGCAGTTCAACCTTTTCAAGCAATCCAGTGTGGGCATCTTTAATATAAAGTCATTTTCTCGTTTGTCGCTCCAGCGAGTATTCACCCGAACGACAAATGGAAACACTTTTTTGAATTTTATCTCAACTATGAACAATCGCAGTATTCAAAACATCATTTACCCATTTTGATAGAAAATAAATTTAAAAACAAAGATGAGAAAAAAACAAAAACATAATTTTTTTTGTTAGAAATGAAGTTTGTTTTTTTTTTTTTTTTTTTTTTTTTGTTGGAGATGAATTAGTGTTTGATATGACTGTTATTTTATTTTGGGAGTAAAAATAGTTTTTTTTTTTTTTTTGGAGATGTCCTAACTCTTTTGTTGGCTCTTGTTGCTTTGACTATGTTCAAGTATATCTACCATTTCTCCTGTTTCTTTTCCTTGTATGCTTTTTGTTTTTGTCATGCAGATTGGATGGTAGTCTCCTGCTTTCAACTTTGTTCGTTGTTGCCAGTTTGTTTTTGGCTTTTTTTGCTTTTGCTTTTTATTCTAATAGTAACTAGCAAGAGATCATAGACTCCTTAGCCTTTTGTTTCTTTTTGGATGTAAGTTTGTGAGAATTTAATGAGTTTTCGATCTATTTAACCCACCACTGCTTGTCCAAGTGGTGAAGAGCCGGTTGGCAAAGCCAGGTCCTTGGTTCAAATCCCTTGGTAAGCAATGAAAGCCTTAAGTGTTGGCCCGTGTAAATTGGTGTGGGTTGCATGCTAGGTCGACCAGGGTTTTCATTGGCCTAAGGACAGTGCTTCCTCGTCACCAAAAAATAAAGTTTTCGATCTATTTTATGGACTTTTTATATTTTATTCCAAATTAACGCGTAATCCCTATGTAAATTTTTACGAAGAAAAGCCCTAATGCTGCATCCTTGAGGTTTTCCAGTCATGTCTCCCTTCTTCTGCTTCTTACCTTTGTTGTCTATGCTCAATCCACCAGATTGGACAATAGGTGTGCTACTCTCATGCTTTGCTAGTCATGTGTTGTATATTATTTTAATTTATAATTATCGTGTGTAAATTGATGTGGGTTGCATGCTAGGTCGACCAGGATTTTCATTGGCCTATGCATTTGGGTAAGCTACCAAAGTCAGAAAGCCACCTACACTGGTAGTTTGATAAAAATACATTTTGAGTGGAAGGTGACCTTAAATTTCATGGCACCAAATTATTAGAGTTGTTCTTTGAATTCTATTCAATACCATGACTACCTAGCCCTTGTTGTATTTACTAATTCTCCCTTTCTATAATCTGGTGCATTAAAAGAAATATTCTTACAATAATTATTCCTCATATGAATTTGATTCTCTTTTATTTTAATAGATTTTTAAGTTATGTGTTTCTTTTATGTCACGCTAATTTTCCTCAATATGAGGCATGAAGTTCACTTGTAATTTAAAGAAGAGGGTGCAATAAAAATATATAAGAGATCTAAAATATGCATTATATATTTTAACATGTTACATGATTTTATTTAAATATAAGTTGTAATAATCATATTATAATCAAGTTAGGTCTACTAAATATATGTCTGATATTATCGGTAGATCGTCTATTATTACTGGTAGATTTTTTCGGCGATTTTATGGCAAATATTTTTCCTCTAGTAAAAGCCGCGTAGGAAACGATAATCGGTGGCTAATTTCCGGCGAGAATTTTTTTCGGCGGCTTTTCAGCGGAATAATGCCATCGGAGAATAATAAATTTAATTAAAAAAACTAGGCTACCCGTTGTCCTCCATACTGCCCGCCCATCCTACCCGCATGCTGGGATTCGAAGTGAGTATAATTTCAAAGACCATACCAATTTGCTAGATTGGAAAAGGTTTTTAAATGTCACACATTTTTTTATTTAAAACATAAGAATCAAAATCTAACCGCAAAGCAGCCGGAAAGCCTCCGAAAAATCTGTAGAAAAATTAGTCAGACATGTTCCACCGAAAATATGTTGGAAAGCCACGGAAAATAGTCCGCTGGAAAAACGATTTTCATATAGTAAATATAGGGAGCATCACATTCAAAGTTTAATGTTTATGGTGGAATGGAAACAACATTCATCCTCAATACAATATACAATTACACTTTATTTCAGAATGCTTGAGGAGATGGAGTCCTAACAAGGATACATGATGTGGGAACATCCACAAGCTAGTAAATAGAACTTTGTTACCCATCGAGTTGGCATTGCACATATATGTAAGATGGTTTATGATAATGATGCTTATGAGTTTGGCCATAAAGACATTATCATAAATAAGAACTTGGAGAAAGTTATTTTTGACAATATTGCCTACCATTAACTGAGTATTATAATAAGAATAGATTGTATAGTTTTGGTTTAAAAATCAGACTAAAATTTCCATGATATTAAACTCCTAATCATCAGTGAAAATCTTTAGCTACCAATTGAGCATTGTACATATCAATAAAGCCATTTAATTTATATTTTATCTAAAAGTTTGACTTGCACCTTTCCGAAAGGGTGAATCAGTTCCCATCACTTTCGATTTCCAGAGAAAAAAATACATTTTGAGGGATTTCTGACGGAAAATTTTCTGCCGATAAAAGCCCCGTAGCCGCAAGCTTCTTGTATTTATGGAGTGTGTGCATATATTTCGTTCGTTTTTTGTTCTTCAATTTACATTTACATTGTTATAGAGTCACTTTTGATATTTAATTATATCATCAAAAGTAAATATTATAAGGTCCTTCAAAAAAATCCAAAGCTCACTATTGCTCCAAGAGTTACTAAAGTTAAGAAAAAACTAAAAGCCTAATTAATGAGCATAGGATCACAAACTAAATTAAAAAATAATTCACTAATGGAGTAACTTACATAACACAACTCTCCTTGGCCTATTGGTTGAAAGCTTAGGCTTCCAACTAAGAGGTCCAAGGTTCGAGTCCATGTGTATGCGTTGAGTGTGTGAGATTGCCTTAAATGGCCTAAATGTCCCAAAAAAAAGAGTAACTTACATAGACATTAAATAGTTATCGTGTGTGATAAATAATTTATTAAAACCTTCTGGAATAAGAAAGGTTGAGATCTCTTTATGAAAATCATTGCTCTCCTTGTAATAGGATAGAGATAAAAATCTTAGATATACTATTGTGTGCGTGATTATTGAAAGAATAAAATAATAAAAACATAATAAAATAAATTCAATTTGAAATCAAAATATAGAAAGTAATTAATTTAGAAAGTTTTTTCAATAAATTCATTTTATTAAGGGGAATTAAAATCATTAACATTTGAGTTGGTAAATCTTTGTGTTTATAGAATCCAAAGAACACCCAAATACTTTTAATTTTAACCTTTTATTAAAAAAAAAGACAAATTGCCAATGATGCTAGAATTTCTATCAAACTAGCGTAGGATGTGGCTTTCTGACTTGGGTAGCTTGCTCAAAGGCATAGGCTATCTCAATCAAAGTTGCATCAGAACCCCTTAATCCAGCAAAGGAAATCCCAAAAGGCGCACCAGAGCCATTATATCCCGCTGGTACGCTAACGATGGGAAAGCCACCGATCCCGAAAGCATGCAGGCCATAAAAATGGGGGAACATTACAGCATCTAAATTTTTTTCTTTCATCAGATCCGTCACCCCTTCCTTTGCGAGTTTGTCCATTCTTTTCATAGCTTTCTTGGCTGCCACATCTATTCCATTAGTTTTTTGAGATGCTAAGAAAATTTTTTGCCCATATTCATCCATTCCTTCCTGCATGAATTAATAATGAAAAAACTTAATTAATAAGAATTGCACTATCATTTAATTATCAGTTGTAAATTACCTCAATTGGGTGATGATTGTTGAAGGCTATGACATCTGCGAGAGATCGTACGGGGGAGTACACGAGGTCTTTGAGGTAGGCATTGAGTGAAAGCTTGAACTCGGCCAATAATGCAATCGCTTCACCATTTGCAGTCGAATTTAGCATGATTTCTATGTTCTTCATTTTAAGATTGTCAACCAAAATAGCACCTTTTAATCTGTCACATGACATGAAACATTCTCTTTAATTTGTAAATTTAAAAGTTTTGAATTTTCAAATATTACATAGCTTTTACCAGATAACCATATTTTTGAAGTTAATCACCTCATGGTGCGAAAATGTGTTGCAAATGTATTAGCTTCCAATGACCCTTTGGAGTATTCATCAAAGAAGGAGCGAAAAATCCCCACCCTCTTACCCTTCAGCCCATCTTTCTTCAAGGACTTTTGGAATCCACCATTTGGAATAAACCTCTCTGCAGCCTTCGTTGCTTTAGCATCCAGTGGATCGAATCCCGTGATGACATCCAAGAGTTTCACTGCATCTTCCATTGTTCGTGCCATTGGCCCTATGGTTTGTAATCTTGGCGAGATGGGTACCATCCCAGAACGGCTGGTTATGCCCACTGTGGGCTTGATGCCCACCACTGAGTTCATCACTGCAGGGCAGGTGATGGCGCCATCCAAATCTGTTCCAAGTGAAACAGTAACTAGATTTGCGGCCACAGCTATAGCTGACCCGCTACTGGTTCCACATGGAGTATTTGTCGTAGGATAGGGATTTCTACCTTGTCCCCCTCGCGGACTCCACCCTTGGGGAGCCATTATTGATCGAAAATTGTCCCACTCGCTCATGCTTGCCTTACCTAGAATGATGGCGCCGGCATTGCGAAGGCGATGAATGACTCCTGCATCACACGAGACGATGGAGCCAAGAAGGGCGAAGGAGCCTGAGGTGGTATTGAGCTTATCGCGGGTGTTTATATTATCCTTGACAAGGACAGGTATGCCATGCAGGGGGCTGAGATGGCTATCGACACTACGCTGAAGGTCTGCTTTGGCTGCATCGTCGAGTGCATTAGGGTTGACCTCCATGACGGCGTTGAGGTAGGGGTTGAGAGCATTGATCTTTTCCAAGTAATGCTGGACAAGCTTGAAGGAAGTGAGCTTGCCGTCATTGAAGGCCGCCTGGATGTCGGAGATGGTAGCTTCTTCAAAGTGTAATGGACGCTCAATAGGTGACCTTGATGGAGGTAATTTAATGCTCAGTTTACTTAAAATTATATTGACGTATTTGAACTTCTTGCAAGCACAAGAATTTTTTCCTTATATATGTAGATTAAACATGAAAGTTAAAAAGAATTTATGAAGATTGCAAAACAAGTTGGCAACAAATACTTTCTTTTAAAAAAAATAAAATAAAATAAAATCTAACTGCAGGTTTTGGTGAGGCCCTTCCGGCTGATTTTTTTTTTCTGGTTGCTCCTACTCTTCTTGATGCATTTAATGTTCATAGGTTCATAGATTTTGGTGCTTTAGTTTCTATTTTGGATTTCCTTTCTGAGGGTTAACTTTTTGGTTTCCTGTCTTTTTCTTTTGGTGATCGAAATAGGTAAGATCATAGGTTCATAGGTTTTGTTTCAAGAACTATATTTTTAGAGAGCTTTTGATCTCTTAAGTACTACCCACCGCGACTTAGCTCATGTGGGGGGAGCTCGGCCAGGCAAAGCCTAGGTCTCGGGCTCGAATCCCATGGACGGACGTGACAACCTTAAGTGTTTGCTGAGGTAAATTGGTGTGGGTTTCCTGCTAGGTTGACCGGAGTAATTTACTCGCCACTAAGCAGAGGGGTTCATCATCACAAAAAAAAAGCTCTTACCTAATCAATGCGTAGGCCTCTCTTTGAGTTTAAACCCAAAATAAAAAATTAAAAATTCATCTAAAATGTAAAATTCTTGTGCACTTATTATTGATTTAGTAATTAAGGATAGATGTTCAAAAACACAAATAGTTTAAAAGAGAATAGTAAACCTGGTGCCCCTAACGCCATGCCAAGAGCTTGGAGCCGAAGGAAGACTTGCAAAGATGAGAAGTAGGAGAAGGGAGATTTGGGTGGTTGAAGCCATGGATTGATTTCTTCAACGTTGAGAATGCAAGTAAATGTTGGCTCCCTTCGTTGCTAAAATAATCAAAAATGTCTCTCGGGATTGCTTTGACAGAAAAAATGTATTAAACAATGGCTTTGTTGATTAGCCAGAAATTTGTCTCCATATAGTTAGCGTTAGCTTCATCTTTGAACTTTCTTCCAATTGGCGTTCATCTTATATTTCTTATTCATTGTGAGTTGGATCTAATGTATCTTAGTTTTTTTTTTTTAATTAATTATCCCAAAACTCTAAGATGGTACAGATTGATCGATTGTCTGGTTATTTTTTTTGGTGGTTGGTCGGTTTTTTTGTTTTTCTTTGCTGATCTGTCTCCTAGAGTTATTGGATGGCTGCTGTCAGCATGTTTCTAAGGTCTAGTTTGTCTTTAAGCTTGTTTCCTTTCTTCTAGCTTTGTGTTTTCTTTCCTTAAAGCATCTCCAACCGAGCTCAATTCCACCGTATGCCGTATGTCTTTTGTTTCATTCGAACTCTAGATCTCATGCCAAATTCTAGTTGGCAAACAGTGAAACGTTGGTATTGGGCTCGGAATTTTGGTATCGGGCTGTTCACCTACGCCAAAAAAATTCACTGCGGGATTTGTCGAAGAAGCACGCGAAAGAGGAGAAAAACATGCCAAAGATGGTTACCTTCATAGGAAGCGCGCCAAGGAAGAAGAAAATTGGAGATGAATGACTGCTTTTTGAAATTTTATTGCATTTAAGAGTGAAAAATGAATTTTTCGGTTGGAGATGCCCCTATGTTTCATTAGGTTCTATTTCGCTCTTCTTATGTGTTGGGCTCGATCTTCTGATTTCTTCTCTGTTCTACTGCTGCTTCTTGTGGCTCCCCTGGCTTGTTGCTCTCTCGCAGTGTTTGCCTGGGTGTCAAGTTTGGCTTCTCTCCTATGTTGTATCCTTTTGCCTATGCTCATTCCTATTGATTTTATTTTGCTGCCTTTGTCCTGTTTTTGTGTTTGTTTTTTGAATATAGGTCGCTATATCGCTTATCTCAATTAGTTTGTGAGAAGCCCCTTCGGTTGCAAATGTGGTTTTAGAGAGAAAATTATGTCAAAATAGAGGCTGCAAATTGCTACCAATACATACAACCAATGTATTATTCTACACCTGCAATTATACAAAAATCTACTAGGAAATACTAAAAATTACAAAATAATTTCAAATATTTATGAAACAAAATATCATGATCAAGCAAAAAATAGTAGATCAATGCCACGAGTTTATCAAAATTAATGTAATGCTAGTCAAATTAGAAGGTGACTCCTTTTCATTATATTTATATAAATAGCATCTTCTAATAGTTCTCTCCCAGTCATCCTTCACAATGATGGTCTCAGGTAGAAAAAATTATTATGTGCGGCCGTCAAATACCGTCCGGAAACCAATCAGAACGTGTCACGTCACCTCTTCTCTATGTACCGTGGCTCGGTACAGCTGACGTGGCTACACTTGATTCGCTGCGGGACATAGAGCTGTGTCCGGCCTCCACACAGAATAATTTCTCATTCGTTGCCTGGTAGAAGCATACTTAAATTGCGAAATTTCTCATTCGTTGCCTGATAAAATTATAAATTGAAAGAAATTGACACTTTTTTAAGGAAACTCATACTCTATCAGAGTTGGTAGAGGCTGCAAATTGATTCCAGCGAGGTGCTGAAAGGCATGGCTCTACGACATTCATTTTCCCTAGAAACCCAACACCGCAGTGCTGAATTTTGACGCAGAGACTCAGTTTAACGCCGCTGCGCTTATTATGGTTTTGCCGCGGCGCTTAAACATAGAAAAAATTGGCGCTGCAACATTGGATATTGGCGCCTCGATGTTATTGAACTTGGAATTGCGGTGTAATATACTCGAGCGCCGCAACGCCACTTCAAATTTATAATTTCTATGGTTTCTGATCACTTCTTATACAATACAACTAAAATAATATATTTTTACTAAAACTCAAATACAATAAATAGTATATAATTTATACTTAATAAATCTCATATCTTAAAGTCTTGCTTGTCCTTATGCAACAATAACATTCACCCCTTCATCACTTAATAACCAAAGTAAAAATTGATAAAAATTATTAACATATAGGATAATAAAATTTAGTCAAGAAGTAATTTGTCATGAACAAAATTATAATTCTAATTTGAAAAAAATCATGATAATTATCCTTTTTAGTCACCCTTGCTATTGCTTATTTTGAATCTATTAATCATATTTATAAATATAAAGTATAATGAATAATGTAGCCTAAGGACTAATTGCTTATAGTAAAGTAGGAAATTCATTAGTGTAATATCACATGTACTAGTTTACTTATTTTATCCCTTTTTATTTAATTAATATGTGCATTTGAATTTAAGCTATACTTGATACTGATTTTTTAAAGTAATACTATTTTTATTTTTTTTGTAATGTGATTTTTTCTTATTTTTCTTTCTTTTACTAATTTTGAAGTGCATACTTAATGATTTTGAATATTAATTTTTGATTTCATTCTCTTGCCATCCTATTGAATTAATATAAGGATTTAATAAGATCACTAATTCCATTTTCAAGTTTTACTATGATTCTCCTAATTTAAGCTACTCACATCTAATCCTTAAATTTATTTATTCATTTTCAATTCAGATGTTAAAAATTAAAATAATAATTTTTAAATTCAAAATTAAGTCAATTGCTTAGATAACATAGATTATTAATTAATTGTTATGTTTTTAAATTATGAATTATTATGCAATGTTCATTCAAACTATATTCCAGAATTTTAATATTATTCTAATTTTATATAATTTGTAATTATAATTTTTATTTTGGCTAAATATGTAATTAAAGTGTAATATCTGTAAAGGATATTATACAATAATTTAAGCATAATAAAATTAGTCAAATGTAAGCAACAAAATATATTAAAAACTAATAGTAACCTATCATAACTAAATATGAAAATTACAAACTAAAGATGCATCAAACTTAAGAAAATAATTAAGTACCAGAAAAAAAAAAAAACTTCATACACAAGTGGGTTGCCATCTATCAGTGCTATGTTTATACGCTTAAGCCATACTATATAACAATACAACATTAAAATAAAAAAAATAAAAAAAAAACAAAGAAACACCAACATAATTAGGTTGTCTCCCAATACAATGCTAAATTTATAGTTTTCACCAAGATTTACTTAGATTTTTTTTTTTTTTTGGCTAGGATGCAACACAACCTCTCCCAAGTATGATTTCCACTATGATCTTTCTCTTTTTATTTAGGGTTAAGTTCAGCATTACTAGATAGTGAACTAAGAGATCTACTGCTAAAAGAAATTGCAAGATGTCTTAATTGAGTTTTCAAAATTTTTATTGAAGGAGTTTGAAAATAGAAAGACATCTTTAGAAGAGGTAATGATTTAATTAGGAACTCACAATAGATTGTTGAGGATTATTCTAGTTTCCTCTTTGATAAGGTTATCCCAAATTCTACTAATTATTACCGCTAACATTATTGAACAAACCTAAATTAGAGTGGTTCCTCCAACCTGAATTGTAATTATTCGAATAGGGATAATTTTCTCTTCCAATTAAATTCATATTTTCAATCTCTAAAACACTAGTATCATCAATAGAATTCAAATTAAGCTCTTTCAATTATATAGATGATCCCGATCCTAAGTTACATCTAATAATATCCAATTACTTTAAAATAACAGCTACCCAAATAGTAAGAATTAATAAAGATCTGATTCATAAACTTAAGCTACAACTCTTAGGATTCACCTTATAAGTAGGACACTAAAAATTATTTATAGTCATTTTCTCTATTATTTCATATTCTTTCTCAAATGACTTAGACATTAAAGATTCTCTAGTTGCAATATCTATGATTGACATAAGAGATCCTACTAATCCATCATAAAAAGTTTGAATAACCAAACAATCAAGCAACATGTGGTGAGGACATTTCCTAAGTATTTCCTTAAATATCTCTTATCTTAAATTGATTCTCTTTTAAATTGGACAAAAGAAGTTATATCATTTCTATGTTTGATAGTTTCTTAAGGTGAAAAATACTTAGCTAGTAATTTGTGTGCCAACTAATAATCATTCGAAGTGGTTATAGAGCCTAGGGGAAAATAATTTAACCACAACTTTGTCTTGCCCCTTAGAGAAAATGAGAACAATCTAAGTCTAATTGCGGCATCACTGATATCATTATACTTAAATATTGCATAGATTTCTAAAAAAAAACTAGTTAAATGTAAGATAAGATCTTCAACTTGAGTTCCTCTAAACTGAAAATTTTGAATCATTTGAATGATAGCTAATTTCATTTAAAAATTATTAGTACGAATAATATGTTTATTAATACTCTAATGAATTTCTTTTACTACAAGATTAGCATACTCTTTAAGAGGTCTAGGATGGTCTTTGTTCTTGTACTTGGTCAGACATTTTTTTTAATATTTTTTTAATTTCTTTTTTAATTTTTTGTAAGGATCATTTCTATTTCTGGATCAAACAACAAGGGTTCCTTATTAGATCTACCTATCATACAACAAAATTAAAACAACTAAAAATCATAAACTAAACTATAAAACTAAATAATTTTTTTATTCTTTCAAAATTTTAATTAAATGGAATAAATATGCAGGATATAAAAAGGTCTAAATATACACTTATTTTAATAATATAATCAAAATTGTAATATGCATATTACTTCCTCAGTAAGGATACCAATAACTTGATGGGGCTTAAGGAGGCTACCAGATGCTAACAGTGTGAGCTAATATGAGACTTACTGAGTTTGAAATATGATTAGGTTTTCTTTGATATGAATTAATGTAAATCCACTAAAATATATATGTATATGTGTCAAACCAAGTAACAAAATGATATAGTAGAGTGTCAAATCTATGAGGAAGTGTTATGCTTAGTTGCAACTTAACAAGTATTGCTACTTCAAATGCATGAT